CCATACTGGAAAGTTCGTATGTTACGCCGGATATATCCGGCGTAGGATTTTACAGATTACGCCAAATTTGGCGTAATACTAAATCAAATTTTCGATTGAAACTGTTCGCGTGGCGTAAATGGCGTAAAGCGTATATAACGGTATAGTCACAGATTAAGAGGACCAGATGTCCGACTTCAGTCAAAAAAGCGTAAGGGCTTCGTCACTGCGCATGCTGTACTGCGCATAGCTTAGCAAGTGACTAGAGGCAGTCACCCCCCCGACATTAAATTTCAAAATGGCGGCAATAATTTATTTTAAGACAACAAACATGAAAATAAACTCTTTTTATTTGCCCGAGAGAGGGATTGTGTGGTTAAATTTGTGTTTAAAACTTTCAAAGTCAGCACGCGTATTGGAAAAGTGAGTTTATCACACTTAGTTTGCAATATTTTACGAATTTTTCTCTTTTTCGATCGTCGTAGGAGTGAAAAACTATAGGCGAAATGAAAATGCCACTTTGCTGAGGTATTTGAAGTCATTTTTTACAATATACGATGTGTTTTCTTGCACTTTCTACGATGTCTGATATTCATCGACATATGTATGCATAATTTATAGTTTACTTTGCATAGATATTAACTAGAAGTTAGTTTTGTTTACAAATTTTACATTGTATGCATGAATGTATACATAGTATTTGTAAATATTGAGTTAATTCATCTATTTATACAAAGACTCTCTAATAAAAATCTTGTAACAGGAAATGTGAGTTTCAGAAACTGTGTGTCTCAGACAAAAATTATTCTAAAATTAAATACCTCACCTACCAACAACATATTACAAAAATATATAATTTGGGTATATTGGACAGGTTTCCTCTAATGTTAATAGTACAGACTACATGTGTAGGATATTAGGACACTGACTAAATGGGAATTCAATATTTAACATTCTGTAAAATCTGTTTTGTTTACACAAGTCTCACAATCTATAGTAATTATATTCCTGACTGGAAAGTTTGCAAAGGGTGCAGCTAATTTTTGTTTTAATATGTAAAATAGTATTATGCCGCAAACTACAAACTTTCCAGACTGCGGCCAATATGAGACTCCTATAGTCGAACCTCTGTTAGGCAGCCCTCCTTTACGAATCATGCTTAATATTTTGCTTTATACGCATATTAATCACATAAATATAATGTTCAACACATGTCGACACCAACAGGTCAATGTAAGTTTTTGTATCAGTGTTCGTTAACACTTCTTGATCTTTTCAGTCTACCTATTACTGTAATCAGTGATTTTTGAATAAATAGACATTGGAGCCCCCCCCCCCTAAGTCTACTTTATGGCCACTTCATTGAGCATTGAGGTTGAATTGTATTTTTTATACTATTTAATTTTGTTAATGTTTAACCCATTAAGGGCCAGCGCTCTCCCCTTGACAAGTAAAATCGTCTGGCGTTAGACAGAGTGAAACAATAAAGTAGGGCGCATCAGGCCGCAATGCGACTCAATTGGTTAATGTAAAATATTATTAGTATATAACAACAACAGGGAGTTGCACATTTGCATGATAACACTTGTTGCATGATAACACTTGTTGCAGGTTAAAGTCATTACCAAGTGAGTAGTTACACAGATTTTTACAACAAATTAGGCTTTTTCAATAATTATGTCATGTATGCCGGTTTAGCCTGGGCACCTCACTTTCATGTATCAGGACAAAATGTGATTGGATCACTCTTCATGGGAATTTGTTGTTTGTAGGTGAGATATTTAATAAATATTCTAGAATAATTTTGTCTGAGACACACATTTTCTGAAACTCACATTTCCTGTTACAAGATTTTTATTAGAGAAAATACGTAATAGATGAATTAACTTAATATTTACAAATACTATGTATACATTCATGCATACAATGTAAAATTTGTAAACATTTTCTAGTCGACAAACTTATCTAGTTGTCTATTAATATGAATTTACTTAATATCTAGCTTTCTAGTTAATATCTATGCAAAGTAAACTATAAATTATGCACACATATGTCAATGAATATCAGATATCGTAGAAAGTGCAAGAAAACACATCGTACATTGTAAAAAGTGACTTCAAATACCTCAGCAAAGTGGCATTTTCATTTCGCCTATAGTTTTTCACTCCTACGACGATCGAAAAAGAGAAAAACTCGTAAAATATTGCAAACTAAGTGTGATGAACTCACTTTTCCAATACGCGTACTGACGTTGAAAGTTTTAAACACAAATTTAACCACACAATCCCTCTCTCGGGCAAATAAAAAGAGTTTATTTTCATGTTTGTTGTCTCAAAATAAAATTGTTGCCGCCATTTTGAAATTTAATGTCGGGGGGGTGACTGCCTCTAGTCACTTGCTAAGCTATGCGCAGTACGGCATGCGCAGTGACGAAGCCCTTACGCTTTTTTCAATGAAGTCGGACATCTGGTCCTCTTAATCTGTGACTGAGGTCACTTGCTCACTTGTAATTCTGTGGCTTTGCTATATTTACGCAGACCAGTGTCATGTTTAGATGTTAAGTATATATACTCTGGCTTTTTCTCCTTCTTTTCTTCTATTATATAGTTTGAAAACAAGCAGTAAGACTCCCAATTTTAGCTATTGTAAAACAAACAATGACTTTGGAAAGCCAACAAGTATACAAAATAGACAACAAGGCGCCGAAAGTCGAAAAAAATTGTTCGCTCGCGTTAATCGCTTTGATCAGCCAATCAAAACTTGGGACAAAATGTTCTTAAAATTGTTTTGAACAAAAGTGCAAGGTCGAGGAACAAATTTCAAACAGTATAAAACTGAATCAACTGACAAAAGCCAAATACAACTCACAGTTTTTGCTATTGCCTTCGACTCTTCGCATAAAGAAGCCAAAAATCTTTAAAGAAATATCCATGAGAAACTCAGCACAATGTGAAAATGAAAAGTTTGATATAGATTTGCAGCAACGAATGGACGAGCAAACTCCAAATAAAAACAACAACAAACTTTATTGCAAAAGCTTAGTGGAATTCGCAAGTTAGATAAAGCTTCAAAAGTTTACAAAGGCTTAGCAACAGCTGACGTAGAGGTAGGAAATTTCAAGAAAATCCGGTTTTCTCCGGTTAAATTAAAGGTTATCCTACGGATAGTTAAACGCGGTACTAAACCAAAGATTAGATACTATAAAGATGTGTCACTCGACGTATTTCCCTAATGTTTGCGTGTCCGTAATTTTCACTTACTGCCAAAATGGCGGCGAGACTGATGGCGTTGGATTTTACTATTTAAGAGACTGATGGCGTTGAATTTGACACTTACTGGCAAAATGGCGGCTATAAAAAAATCTCGGACATAATTTTCGCAGAGTGACACATCTTTATAGTATCTAATCTTTGACTAAACGGGCTTCGTACAACGCAATTTTATCGGCCGTTTAACTATCCGTTGGATAAGAAATTTATACGCTGGATAGCGGCTAAACACCGTTTAAGTTAAACGCCTTTGATACAACCGGCCCCAGGAGGTAAACTTATACATGAGGAGGTAAACTTACACATCAGGAGGTAAACTTATACATGAGGAGGTAAACTTACACACGAGGAGGTAAACTTATCCAGGTTGGAATCCGTGAAAATTTTACGCCGGAGGTTACGCCAACTGGACACCGACTAATTACGCCACATCCGGAAATAACTACGAGTTTTAATGCAAACGTAAATGGCTGCAAAATATCACCTGACCAGTCAGCAGTCAAGAACTTAAATGTTGTCTCCCTATACTGTGCTTAAATCCAAATCAGTTGAAGAGTACCATTTCAAATAAATATCCAAAAAGCTAAAGATCTTAAAATATTACAAGATACCTGTAAATATAATCAGTTTCCCAAGTATCAAGATGTATAAGTAAATAATTTGGTGTTATTTTTCATCAGAAGATTCTTCAATCTTCATAATTTACGAATTTTATGGAGTTTAACGCCCCGCCGATGATCAGATGATCATTCATTTGCTCCGCTCGCCCGCCGATGGCATAAAATATCAATAAATTTTACGCCGGAGATATCCAGCGTAACACGCACGGATTCCAACCTGGAAACTTATACATGAGGAGGTAAACTTACACATGAAGAGGTAAACTTATACATGAGGAGGTAAACTTACACATGAGGAGGTAAACTTACACATGAGGAGGTAAACTTACACATGAGGAGGTAAACTTATACATGAGGAGGTAAACTTATACATGAGGAGGTAAACTTACACATGAGGAGGTAAACTTATACATGAGGAGGTAAACTTACACATGAGGAGGTAAACTTACACATGAGGAGGTAAACTTACACATGACGAGGTAAACTTACACATGAGGAGGTAAACTTACACATGAGGAGGTAAACTTACACACGAGGAGGTAAACTTGTCAAGGAAAACTAGTTGTCGACATAGATATATTATATAAACTAGATAGCGCATCTCTTTTAGTAAACTTGAAGCCAAGAATATTTCAGCGGTTACCCCCATTTGAATAGATGACGGCCATGTTGGAGTTTCCCACTCGCTAATAAACGCTTAAAAAACAACAATAACTTTCATCATTTGAATAGTTTGAAAATGTATTTGGCATAGGTTTAACTTAATGTTTAAGTTCCCTGTTTAAGAAATAGAAAACATACGAGTCTTCTCATTTCATGCGAATATCCTGCAATCACGGCTTCAATTTTTGAATTGCAGAATAATTAGATGCACTTTCTAGTGTATATAAGATCTATGGTTGTCGACCGTACACACGAGAAGGTATAAACTGGTCAAGGAAACTTATCAAGGAAAATTTGCTCGTCTGTGTAAGGCTTTATTCATGGATGGTTTCATGGTGATTTGTCACGTTTTTCATGTACAGTCTCTATTTTTTTTCCAGTTGTAAAATGCCCGCCATTGAATTCATTGGACTTGGCAACGGTGAGCGACGTCAATTGTATTAAACAATCAATGGTATTTGACTCTGGCTGCAGATTTGACTGCCCAGCAGGATACGAGTTCAACGTGACGAAATCACAATCAGCAACTCGGTATTGTAAAGTTGATGGAACGTGGGATGGTCAATATCAAGTTTGCAAAGGTAGGTTTCCTCTATACATCGTGATTTCTATTTTTGCCCATAATAACAATTAAGCACTTGTTGTTTTCGAATTTGTTGGTGCATATATTTAAATGCGAATGCGATTCACCATGGTCGTGCTTGCTAGAAACAAGGCAACGAGAACTTGTTCCGGGCCCTGGTATCATGTGTACTAATATTATGAAAATCTTAAACTTATACGTTAATTTTTCATCACTTCAAATTTGATCAGTTAATATGTTGCTCTACAAGGTACATCTTACATCTGTCCCTGCATGAGCTTGGGGCCGACAGACATCATGCATTTGTTTGCCGTTGTCCGTTTGCAAATACCAACACGCCTCTTCAATCTCGAAACCAGTGCCCGCAATCCTCTGTGGAGGCTTGCTGAGGCTCTGGGAAACACCGGCGACTTTTGCACGAAAATCAGTACATTTGGATCCAGTACTCCGCTCGACATTTATAGGCATTACTGCCGTCAAACATGAATTATGCCGTTGTTTAAGCTTATTACGACTTTAATTCTTCAAAAAACACTTGCCATGGTTTTGAATTGTTGTAAGATACTGGTAGTGATTTATTTTAACTTGTTTAATTACGGTAAATCATGGATTGTTGTGTTATTTTAAATATTATAGGCAACGGCTTATCATGACCTAATATGGTAATGCTGCACTGTTGTTATTCTAATTTTGTTATTTATAGCATATCAATATCAGAAATAGAATAGTCTCTTTTGATTTCATGTGAGAAGCAAGGAAAGCTTAATAAGTTTATTAATGTTATGCTGTGTGTTTCATTGATATGTTTAAACATAATACACAAAGAGAAATAAATTTATATTAATTTTAAACGATGTTTGAAATTTGAATCACTAAATACGGCTCACAGTTTGAATAATAATTAGCACTTGAAAAACAACCAATCAGAGGCCGACTTTCGCTGGTGTTTCCCAGAGCCTCAGCAAGCCTCCTCAGAGGATTGCAGGCTCTGGTTTCGAGATTGCACGCCTCTTCCGAACAAATGCGTCTTCATCTGTGGAAATTTAAGGTGGCTCCCTACAGTTTACTAGAAAATGGATGATCGCCGATTTAGACCCAATTTTTCAACAATTGCTATATGTTAAAGACAAAGAAAGTCCGATTAGAAAAATAATAACTACAGAGTTGGACTTTTTCGATAAAAAGGAATCGCAACTGCTGTTGCTATGGCAACAATGACCCTTCACTATGGCCGATATCAATTTTGGGTTTAAAGTTATTTAACTTGAAAATAAGGTCGGTTACCCCAATTTTTTTATCTCATAAAAATAATTTGTTTAGTATTTTTAATCATTGTTATGATTTTTAAAAAATTCTGTCATTACATTTTTCGATCTCGAAAAATATTGACATAACAGATTTTTTTTAAATCACGAAAATGATTCAACATACCAAAAGAAATCATGCTATAAAATAAAAAATGGGGGACACCAACCTTATTTTCGAGTTAAATTACTTTAAACCAAAAATACCCGCCATATTAAAACGTCATTGTTGCCATAGCAACGGCTGTTAGGACTCATGTGAAAAGAGTCTGTCAACGCTCTGCCCCGAAAGTCGTGGATTTTCTCTGGGTGCTCCGGTTTCCTCCCACAGGGAAAGGTGACAGGGTGGGTTAGGATAAACAGAGTTAATAAGAAAGTAATCCGTTGTAATACTTGATGTAATCGGTAAGTAAGCTGAATAATAATGTAATGTATGTATGTCTGTATGTCACGTCAAACGAAACCCGAGAATATACGAAAATGTGTATTTGTTTTAGATGTAAAACCTCCATCATTCACAACTTGTCCTAGCAACAGAAAATTCTCGTACAATACAACATTCCGAACAAACACAGCTCGAGTTGAATGGGAAGTTCCTCAATACGAAGATAACTCAATACTTCATGACGTTAATCACAAAGTAACTTTGGTTGAAGTGAACGGTTATAAGAGTCCACGAGATTTTGAAATTGGTACACACAGGGCCCACTATATTGTAACTGATAAGGCAGGACTACAAGCACATTGTGAATTCGTAATTGAAGTCAAAGGTATGTGGTATTTGTAAGTATTTGGTTGGCCATGTGCCACCCATGCAGCTAGGTAAGATGACATACGTAATTACTAGTGAGCCGGAGTGCTTTATCAGATATAAAACACGAGAGCGCAGCTCGAGTGTTTTATATCTGATAAAGCACGAACTGCGAAGGTTTTAAATGGCTTAAAAACGACCAATCTGATGAGTACATTGGCGAAGTAATTTTTAAATTAAACGTTGTCTAAGCCGAGAAAATCAAAGCTAAAGATTATGTAAATTAACATGAATTTTTTATCACATATAAAACGTTAACCACCGGCAGGGATTTCCTTTATCTTTTCTTTATGAATTATTAATGAGTTTTTTTAAGTAGGAGTAAGATTTCGTTCAAAATAACTTCACAGGAGTTAAATTATCTCCCTGAAATGAAAAGTATTTATTATATAAAGTATAGTGTTTTATTGAAATTTCGAGCACTGATAAAACTGATAATCTCACGTAGCATTTTTCACTATTTCGGAACAATTTACCATAATTTGTAAAATTTTTCAGTAATATTTTCATCAATTTATCAAAATTCCAGCAACTATTACTTTTCAATCCGAGACACTCAAATATTTTTTGTTCTCTTATGGTTAACCTGCTGTAGTAAAACAACACCCATTAATTTAATTGATTTCTCGAAATGGAAATTTGAACCTGTACAGTATAGAGCGTTTGCACTCATCATAGTTATTAGAATAGATGGTTTGGAAACTCATTAGAATAACAATATAACTCATAATCTATGTTAGTCAACGTTTATTCATAAAAATGGTCGTTCACCTCACGTGTGTATTGTATTTTTGCCCAACTAACCAATAGCAATGTTTTAGGAAAGTTACCTATCTGTGACTCAAACAATAGGGTAAATTGAAAATTGCTATTGGTGGATTTGGCAAGAACACAATACACACGTGACGGTGAACGACCATGTTTATGAATAAACGTTGACTAACATAGATACGAGTTTCCAGCTATTAACTATGCACTCATTCACCCGGGACCAACTCAACAGAAGCCATGGCCATGGCGGCCATGTTGGTGTTCCCGACAAAAGCATATCTGACCAGTGTCAGTGATGTTTTCACTCACTTTACGTAAATTTAATCCATAGATAAGGAAGCGCCTTACTATACCGGCTGTCCGCAGAGGATCGAAAAAGAGTTTGTCGCACAAGCTCCATATCATGACAAAATGCGAGTTACATGGGAGGATCCAATGTTTCAAGATAATTCAGGAAAGGACCCAACGTCTGTGCCTAGCAGTCCGAACGGAGCATTCTTCAAAGAAGGACAGCATCAGGTATTACATTATTAATGTGCTATTAGTTGCGAATATGATTTTTGTTTCACATGTGTGATAGTTGAGTCATTCTAAGAAGAACTGTAATATATTGCTTTAATCAAAATCCTCGGTTTGATCAACCTTTTTTCTCTCAAAATTGTCGTGAAAGACCATCTTTCTTAATAACATAGGGTGCTCGAAGACTGTATACCTCCGCCAGCAAATTAAGTTATTCAGTTTACTCAGCCAGGCAAAGCAACACAAATGGTGGCTAATTTCTCATCTAATAATTTTTAGAACCACTAGCTGAGTATTTTAACAAAATACAAAACAAGTGTAACTCCAAAGATCCATAACATTTTTATATTTATCAACGTTTCAACTATATTTCAGCCATCATCAGGATAAACTAACTATATATAGGTTATACATCAAAAGCAGTATTTATATGAAGAAGTATGATACATTACAGTACAGGGGCGTGCTGGCCAGGGTCGAGACAACGAGAACTCGTTGTGGGCCCTTGCCATCCTGGGCCCCTAAAATAAAAACATTCCAATTTTTTCACACATTGAGATTTTAATTTTCAAAATTTAATTTAAAATACTGCAGTTTATATTGTAAAAATGAGAATTCGCGAAAATATTACGGAAGAATTTTCGTATGTGGGATCGAAAAGTTACGATTTGCCCGCGGAAAAAAATTAATATTTCTGGAAAATTGACGAAATGTCCGGAAATTTTTTTGCATTCCAGGAAAAATTGCGATATGTGCGGAAAATTTGTAGTATATCGGAAATCTGTAGTATTTCCAACCATTTTTGGAAAAAATATTAATATTGAGCCAGCGTTCACTGAGCCCCATCATGCAGACATTGCTCATTCATTGTCTTTTTTAAGACGCCAGCACGTCCCTGCTACAGTTGGTTGATTATTAGGGACCAGTCATAAAGTAATTACTCGAGGGGGGGGGCGACGCACCGAAATTTCGCTAGATATTTCCATACCCTCCCAAAAACGTATGGAAAAATTTTTGTAACCCCCTTCAATTTAAGTGAAAATTTTCATACCCTCCTTCTATCATTAACTCATTAAGCGCCAGTGCTCTCCCCTTGACGAGTAAAATCGTCCGGCGTTAGACAGAGTAAAATAATAAAGTAGGGCGCATCAGGGAGCAATGTGACTCAGTGGGTTAAATAGACGCATGGGCATGCACATAGGCCAGTTAACCCATTAAGCGCCAGCGCTCTCCTCTTGACGAGTAAAATCGTCTGGTGTTAGACAGAGTAAAATAATAAAGTAGGGCGCATCAGGGAGCAATGTGACTCAGTGGGTATAATAATTATAGGAAAACAATTCTTTCCAAACTTAAATCTGCATGGCACAAATGCATTCAATATTCAACAATAATTATAAAATGTAATTTTTTCCGTATCTATAGTACTAAGATTTTGGTACCACCCTAGAGGTTCTGTTGTTTTTTTCGTACCCCCCTCAGAGGTTCTGGGTTTTTTCCGTACCCCCAAAAAAAAAATATCCTCCACACCCCCTAGTAAATACTTTATGACCGGTCCCTTAATAAATTAGTTAAATTCTATAGTCAAGTCTTGATACAGCAAAAGGGACCAATGGTTAGATTTATGAATTTATCAATTACTTTAGTATTGTGGAAAACATGTTCAGTATCAACGAACGAGTTAGTATTTCACCAAATTTGTTAACTCGTTTGTTGATACACAAAATATCCACTCTCCTCACATTAAAATGCCGATTCATTATTAACTGCATGCTTGAAGCGATTAATTGCAACGTATTTGTATATCATGTGCAAAGATAAAACTCCGAAAATTTATCAAAGCTCTGTTGTCTATTAATTTATTTGACCTGGATGTGATAGTATAATTATATGTACATCGGCAAAACTGACCGCTGCTTATACACCAAAACAAAGGAACATATCACACAAAATCTGAAATCATGCATCAACACCTCTCTACTTGCGAACGGTTTAAACATATTAAAGCCCTTTTAGAGCTACTGTATATCCCGACGATGACGCAAAGTCTAATCAAACCAGTATAATGACTGAACATGTTTTCCACAATACTAAGTATTATTTATACAACATGAGCGGCCGTGTTGTATCAGATATACAAACTCGAGCCGAATTAAGGCGAGAGTTTGTATATCCGATACAACACGGACGCGAATGTTGTAAATTGCTCATTGGCGAAGTAATTTTAAAAATGAACGTTGTCTAAGCCGAGAAAATCAAAGTTAAAGTTTATGTAAATCAACATGAATCTGTATCACATATACAGATACGACACGCTTTATGATCTTTCTTTGTGTTTTCTTCATGAATTATGAATGAGTTTTTTAAAGTATTTGATAAATCTAAACATTGGTGTATCAAGAATCCCTCGCTATTCAAAGGTATAAATCTGTATGCATGAACTTGATCATGGAATTAAAGCTTCTATTTAAAAACGTACTAATCGTATTTAACTGATTCATTAATAGCTAGTTTAACCTGATGATGACTGAAATATAGTTGAAAAATAGTTGAAACGTTGATAAATATAAAATGTTATCGATCTTTGGAGTTACACTTGTTTTGTATTCTCATGCATCCAATTTTCATCTAAAAATGTAATTCGTTTGTTTTTAGGCCATTTCCATTATAGACCCACAAATCTCGTATATCAGGACGTTTGATATTTTAACGATATCGTGCGCTGACAGACAAACACACATGCATTGACTCGTCCTTACTCCTTAGTACTTAGAAATTGCGATATCCACGAACACTATATTGTTTTGATGATAAAGAAGGATAAATCAGATTAATACTCAGCAAACGTCTTGATTTGTACAGTGTTGTACTATGCCCGATTTTTAACATTAGACCCATTTCGTGTTAGAGGCTCCAAAATTGACATAACATAATTATTTAATCTATAGATTACTTATACCGCCACTGATCTAGCTGGGAACAAAAATGCGTCTTGCCAGTTTGAAATTAAACTAAAATGTAAGTAAAAATATTTGAACTTGTGGATTGAGCGTCGGTCGCGTTGTAGATTTATTTTTTCAAATCATTAATACATTGTGGTCGCTGCATGCGTATGTAATAAGCATGGCAATCACGCGCAAACGTACCTACACATAACTAATTTATCTGCTAGCAGATAACTGAGTTATGTGTAGGTTGAGCCCGTGGTGTATAATTTTATAGCAAGCGGAATTTTTAAATACACGAATAAAAACAAGATAAAACAATTATATGAACGAACGGCGTTTTCGTGAATGTTTTTATTGCGCCAAAAGCAGACTGTTTTGAGATTTTTATTGGATTTGTAGTATAGGTATAAATGAGATTTCTAATATTTTTAATGCTGTTATTGTGATATTTTAACTGGCGTTTTCACTGCTTTCCTTCAGAAACAAACGTTATTTTATGTGACAAATCATTGTTTGCATGTCGAAAGAGTTATAAAATGCAATGTATAATAAAACAGTTTTTATTTGGTTTGTTGATATCCCGAATTACCAAGGTTTCGGTAAGTGTTATCAGTCTCGCTTTCGGTTCGACTGATAGCAAATACTTTCCTCAACCTTGATAATTCTGGATATCAAAAACCTTATCCAATATCTGTTTGTTATTGGCTGAAAATGGATTTTGGTTTAATTTTCATTTTTCCTATAGCTCCTACTTGTGTATTGCACAAGAGACCAAAGAATGGTGCTTTAGCATGTCAAACGATACCGTCTTATCAATGTCAACCGCTATGTCGGGAAGGATATGACTTTGCATATAAACCTAAATATCTCTACTATTGCGTGAACAAGATTTGGATGTATTGGCCTCCTTTCCCGCCCGCAGAAGCTGTTTGGCCTGATTGTGCGCGTAAGTATAGAGTATTAAAATGTAACATACCATCGAGTTATTTTTTCGTTTGTGTATATGGGCTAAGCCGAAAGTTATTTTATATAATAATCTTACAAAGTTCACATATTTATAGTCTTTTTTTACTGGGAAAAGAGTACTACTAATTATATTCATGTTTTTACGGTCCAGATTATCAGATCAGTGAGCGGTCCGTATACTGCAGGTTACCGACCGCTCAGGAACCAATCAAAATGCCGCATTTGCAGATGGACCGCCTTGCCATATAATAATCACTGATATTCGCGGCAAGCAATTTGATTTAAGAATTAGAAAAACTCTTGGCATATGTTACTTATAAAAATAGAATGATTAAAAATTGTACAAAGAAATCGAGAGAAGAAAAGGTAAAACAATGGCGACATTTTGGCGACCAAGTTGTGAGGGATTCGATTAAAACATAACGTGAATACGCATTTTTTCATTCACGATGAAAATTTTTTTTATCAAATCCAAGTTGTAAGCCGGTCAGGGACATTCGGTGTTGTGTCTTTTAGTTCGCGAATGAGTTCAGGAATTGTGGTTTGTAATTCATCCCCAATGAAATTTTTGAAAATTCAATATAGGTCGTGAAGATCCTACCAGCGGAACATTAAAAATGGCGAGTACGTATTATTTCAAAGGCGATTGCAATGATAAGGAAGTCCAAGCAGAATTGAAAGAAAGATACATGAAAGTGGTTAGTGATCCAATGGCTTTCCCATTGTCCTTTTGCAAGTTTAATAAAGATTGTAAATTGGAAAATATTCAAATCTTCTGTGGTGCCGTTGATGCTTCCAGAAGAAGAAGACGGAGAAGACGTAGCCTAGAAATGGAGGTAAATATTTTTTAACCTTCTCGTAATGTATAATTTACGGGATGTTAAAAGAAATAAGTCAGGCTTTACCACGCAGTCAACAACTCAGCTGGTTAGAGCGCTGCGCTGAAATCGTAGGGCCGCTGTTTCAATTTCTGCCTGAGGGCCTATACTGGTTGTATAAAAGAAAACTGAACAGATTTGACACTATATAAGTCAAGAATCAATTTGTATCGCTTCCATCGCACTGACACTTGGAAGCAATCTTAATACAACCCTCGCACCACAATAGCAGATATATTCCCATACAAACGACCAGAAACTAATGCCAGTATCGATGCGAGAAGAAGGTATTAGATTTCACGGCGGCGCTATCCTCGTTGGTTGAAAGCTCGATCATGCGGCGCGCGAATATTCAAATATTTCGGCTTCATTGTGTGACGTGTGTTATCTTCATATTATTAATGTCTTGTAAACTCAAGATTTGAGCTATTGAAACTAGACTAGTTGACAATGACTTTGAAATAAAATCGAAATACTACCTTGAATTTTGTTATCTTGTTTAAATAGCTCGAATCTTGAGTTTACAAGATGTTAATATTCGCAGTGTGTTTCGTGTTATATTTTGCGAAATTGCCTGCTGGTCAAGGATTTTGAACTTTTTTTTCCGCTAGCTTTCCTGTGTAAATAGCCAAACAGAATCCAATTAGCTATGGAATATTGCATTATTTCAGTTCCACATCCAAGCAGATTTTACTGTCAAACCAAGCAACGCTGTGGCAAGTCAACAAGATTTCCAGAACCTTAAATCAGAAATGAAGAACGTCTATTATGGCGAGATGAAAAACAATGTTAACAATGTTAACTGGAAGAATGAAATGAAGATGAATCTAGTTAAACCTCCGAAGGTTTTCGCTCCCGAGCCATATTGTTCTGGTGAGAGAGGTGCCGTGGTTGGAAGATGCGATAATATAAAACACAACTGCGATAGTTCGATTTTTCCTGTCGACCCTGCGTGCCTATGTAATTATGATATCGGAAATATTGAGAAATGCAGTAAGTATTTTGTCAAACAACAGGTATTTTTACTATGTCTTTGAATCTACCTAAGCTCTTTTCCTGCTATGTTAATAATATACATGAAACAATTCCTCAATTCTGATTGGCTAAGAGCAGTGGAATTTTTTCGAAATACAGTGCCAAAAAATGAAATAGGTCTAAAGTGCAAAAAAAGATTATTTTTTATTTTTCAAATTTCTTAAGTTTCTTAATTTCTCAACGTGACTTACGCACGTGACTGCATAATTTTTTCATATATATTATTAATATTAAAGTAATAGTATGGTTTCTCATGCAATATGGTCTCTCATGAAAAAACATACACTCGTGAGTTTTTCAAAGACTTCGAAATTGCACTCGAAACCATACTATTACCTATACGAACAAATTAGTTCCAAAGGGTAAATTAGACATTAATCGTAATACATTGACTCGAGACATCTTGAAAGTGAATAATTTATTTACAAAATATATAATTATATTTAGCTTGGTCATTTTATATGTTAAGTGAAAGTCTGTATTGTAATGCACCTATCAATGTTAAGCCCCAGAGGAGGGGGTCGGGCATAGATGGGTCATTTGATTTTTTGAGCAAATTTTCAATCAAATGCCCCACCGTCGGGCAATAAATATTGGTCAAATACTTCACCATTTTGCAATAAATTGCAGTGAATACTATATTAATAAAAGTCATTTGGTTCAAATTGCCCCAACTCGGGGCCAAAATGCTAATCAAAATCCTCGGGGTGGGGATGCAATTGATTATCAAATACCCCACATATGCCCCCCCCTGGGGCTTAACATTGATAGGTGCATAAGTTGCTGGTTGATGGCTGGATCAATATACTTCACCATGCAGGTATATCGAGTATTAGCATGCGAGCAAAACAAAGTAGTATGGTTGGCTAATTTACTCATGAATTATTAATGAGTTTGAAATTGATTATTCCATTAACCTGTGAATTGCATCCGCATTATTCACACCCTCCGAATATTCGTTGAGCACTAATTTTATTTTACTTTTCTGTTTAGTCGAATGTCCCATTGGAAAATACTATGACGCTTCAGATAGAAAGTGTAAACTATGTAGTGACGGTACGTATCAGGATGTCGAGGGCCAGTTTGGTTGCAAGAAGTGTCAGCCTGGTTTCCACACCTTGGGAAATGATGAAAAGAATTTCACATCCTGTAAAGGTAATAAAATGTGCTGGATTTTAGAAGAACTGCAGTGGAAACGTAATATATCAATTTATCACGTCTGTCACTTTTTCCTAATTGGCGAAGTCAGAGCTCTAAAATCATAACGGAACTAACTGTACCAATAAAACAACACTGAACAGAACGGACAAGAAAGGAACGGAAAAGAAAAGAACAGAATAGGACTGGGAATGCAGAACAGAACGAAACGAAACGGGACAAAACGGAACAAAACGGAACGGAAGAGTAGGAAAGGCCTTGACGGGAACGAAACGGAACAAAACTGAACAGAACAGAACAGAACGGACGGAACAGAACAGAACAGAACAGAACAGAACAGAACAGAACAGAACAGAACAGAACAATACAAGAATAAGCGACATGCTAAATGAACTTGGTTGGCAACCATTAGTTGAACGAAGAAGAATATTTATGCATAAAGTTAAAAATAAGCAATTCCCAGAAAGAATATCTAGCATGTGTCATATTAATAGAAACGACAACTACAACCTACGCAATAATAATGTCGATTATGCACTACCAAAACCTAAAACAGATTTCATGAAAAAAAGCATAAGTTATTCAGCCGTAAGTCTATGGAATAGCCTCTTAAAAGCCGCTAAAATAAACGACGTTTCTATTCGGCAATTAAAACAATTCTCTCGAGCTGATTATAATGAATAGACGAAATGTGTGAACAGTAAATAGAATCTAATTATGTCATTTGTTTGTAAATAATGTCTTTTTATATTTTTTTATTGTATTACTGTAAACGGCCCCTTGGAAATCAGATGTTATTAGATCTGAAGGGTTACCGTTTTCATATAAGATTAAATAATAATAATAACTGAACTGAACTGAAAAGGACAAAGCGGAACGGGACAGATATGAAAGGAAGGAGAGGCCTTGAAGGGAACCGAACAGAACTGAACAAAACTAAATGACCTTACACACCACATTTTGAACAACTAATTTTAATCTACAATTTTACTCTTCCTACATCATATACCAAGCCATACAGTCCCTTTGTAGCCCTTTGTATAAATACCAGTCCTACTTTTCAGGTAATTGCATCATGCGCATAGGCTCACAAACTCAAATGATGAGTAGAGGAATTTTGTTGGAAGTGAAAACAAATTGGGCACTATTGTTACGCTAACGCTACGCAAGGGGGGCCATTGGAGATATTATTATATTCTATTCTATCAGATATTATATTAAACTAGTACTACAAATTCACGTAATGGATGAGAGGAAATAATTCTTGAATTACATCATTCTCTATCTTTTTAGAAATTTGCAAGCCTGGTTACTTCTCACTTACTGGATTAGGCCCTTGCCGCCCATGTCGTCTTGGTTATTATAGTACAGATACATGGAGCACTTCATGTAAGATGTGTCCAACTGGAACCACAACTGTATTACCTGCAGCATCGAAGATTGAAGAATGCGGAAGTTAGTATATTTTAAAACATTTATATAAACTTTAGCGGGATACAGGAGGGTGCTTGTTCTCTGTCTGACATGCCATCTGTTGCATGGCCAAGACGATAGTGAGTGAACTAGTGCCGAAAAATAGCCAAAACCTTCCACTTATGGGTAAAGCCTCCTCAATTTCCGACAAAACTGCAATTTACACTCCAATTTGGCTTTTGTAATACCGCAAATTTCCGATAATAAGCCCCCCTCCCCCCGAATATAAGCCCCCGTGTATAAGCCCACCACATGTACTAACGCTCACCTCATTCCACATATAAGCTACCCCTCTGAATATAAGCCCACCGGAATATAAGTCCACTTGTTTATCACTATTGTTTATCACTATTACCACTTGTTTATCACTATTACACTAACCCCCCCGTATATAACCTCCCCTTGTATAAACCCATCAAAAATCGCTGAAGCCTCAATGAGGACTTCTCAATGTGACTCGAACCCAGTCCTCATGTGAAAAGAGTAAAAAAAAAGTCAACGCTCTGCCGAAAGTCGTGGGTTTTCTCCGGGTACTCCGTGTTTCCTCCCACAGGGAAAGTTGACAGGGTGGGTTAGGCACATAGGTCTTGAGGCAGATCATTGATCAGGTATGGACTAATAGCGGCAGCTGCTTAAGCGCCATGTGTAAGCTCAAAGTCTACCTCGGTCTGCTTCACGTCAGTCCGGTTCTATCTATCTATCTATTCATAATGTCACTGAAAAGCCCTGATAGGGAGTGTGCTGTGAAATATCTGTAATCTGTAATATAGTCGGAGGTTTATGGTAATTAAAAACCATCCAGTATTTAGAGTTTTGACCGCAAGTAACTCAGTGTAATTATATTAAGGTGACGCCAGTGTATTTTATACTATAGTACATGGTAACTAAGTAATTTGTTGAGAAGTAAACGTTTTTAAATATGACTCATGCAACATTTCCAGGCTCTCCCTGTATAGCAAAATGAACAGATAGATAAGATTTTATCGTTGTTTGTTCAGTTATAGATAAACAGTATGATGGGAGAGCCTGGCCATAATCATGCATAATCTGCAGGGAAGAACAAAAAAGTAGCCGAGACGCCGAGGCGAGTGGGTCACATTTTGTTCTTCCCACGTTGTGGTATCATACTGTGTATCTATAAAAAGAAACAGGAAAATAGCTTACTTTTTATCCACCCAAACATTTGGAAATTTGAACATTTTGCAAATGTCACGCTTAAATGATCTATACAAATAAGGGAATGCTATTGGAATTCTTAACGTTAATATTTATAACAATGTTTAGATTGTTTCCACAATGCTTGTATTTTTCTTAGAATTAAACTGTCTATTTTATTTCTAGTGAAATGTGCTCCAGGGACTTACTCACCAAGTGGTGTTGAACCATGTAAACCGTGCGAGAAAGGTTCTTATCAACCTGAAGAAGGAAAACTGAGTTGTTTACCTTGCAAGGGGAAAAAGTCAACCTATGGTCCAGGCGCTAAGAGCGAAGTATATTGTTTGGGTAAGTTTTATCTATATATTAGTGGGTTTCTGTAAGTACTATAGTTAAAATATGAGCAGCTGATTATTGTGCATGGCATTTACAATGGAGACAGTGGCGTAACGTTCATTAGGTAGGGTTAATTCAAGGGCCACCGACTGCTAGGAGACCCATCAGCCACGACCTATCACCCAGAAAATTAGAAAACGTAAAATATGCAGGTTAAGAATTAATGGGAAAATGCAAAAGCAATAATGCTAAAGAATTAAACCTCCATCGACAACGGTAGCTGATTTTTTTATTCCATTTCAAATAAAACAAAAGTTATTCTTATTAGTTGTTGCATGTGTTGGAGACTGTTATATTGTTATTGTTATAGACATGGAATTTTTCAGAACATTCTATAAATATGCAATATAAATATAAATATAATATCTCAACATATCAACAGGGGCCCCCACGCCAAGTATGCTTAAGGGCCCCTCTTCCTCCGTCACGCCACTGAATGAAGAGCGCTTGAGGCCAGGAGTGATAATCGAGCCATGCGCTTAGCTGGAGCCAGTGTTAAATGCCCTTATTTTTCACCCTGCTCGGTTTCCTTTGTTCTTGTCGGGGAATATAATCAATATTCCCCTCTAATCAATTTCCGTTTAATAATCCCCTCTAATATTCACCTGCAATTAATAATTCCCTCTAATATTCACCTGCAATGTCTTTGCAGCACAAAAAATGAGAAAAAACAACATCGCGAAGGCAATATGGCATTAAGAATTATTTCTTTTCTGACTCATTAACGCGACCTCGCAGTGTGAAAAATAAGTACGTTATTTTGAGGCACCTCGGGGATATGTGTTTATTCACCTCGGCGCTGCGCGCCTCGGTGAATAAATCACATATTCCCTCGTTGCCTCAAAATAACCTATACATATAATGAATTTATATTGATGCATTCGGGTCACTGAGTTGCGTTACAACCAAATTGGAATCCAAAATATACTTTAGATTTAAAAAATATTGTGTAAATTTCGGTAACAAAAATAGCGATACCGAATTTGGGGCAGATATACCGATATGGATATCGGTACATTACTACCATGCAGATTTCTTGATGTTCGTCCAGACGATCCGTCAAGGGAAACTGCGCATCTAAGAGTGTGAGTTGTATAGGTATAACTGATATTCAAAGGTGTGAGTCCAAGAGTCTGAGTTGTATAAACGACTGAGTTATGCAAGCCCATTTTAATGTACCGACCTATCTTTTCTTCTTACTCTAGTAGCACCTCGCCTGAGATCGTTTTGGCACTTTCCCTGAGAATTTTTGCACCTCCCCTGAAAAGTCATGCACCTCCCCTTAGAAAACTTTCAGTGATAAGACAACGAATGAGCAACGTCTGACGGGGCCCATGCGCAGTGAACGGTGCTCAATATACCAAAAATTTTTTTGGACATATAGTAATTTTTCCTGGAATGCAAAAATTTTTCCCGACATATCGTCAATTTTCCGGAAATACTAATTTTTTTCCGGGCGTAACGTAACTTTTCGTTCCAACATACGAAAATTCTTCCGTAATATTTTCGTGAATTTTGATTTTTACAATAGAAACTGTAATATCTTAATCTTGATTTTGAAAATAAAAATCTCAATGTTTGAAAAAATTTTAATGTTTTTATTTTAGAGGCCCATGATGGCAAGGGCTCACAACGAGTTCTCGTTGTCTCATCCCTAGCCAGCACGTCCCTGATGGGGGCCTGAGCTAGACCACTGCACCTCCCCTAAATTTTTTCCACCTCCCACACTATTTCCACCAAAATACGGCCTTGCCCTCGTCTGAACATTCATAACCCATTCACTCGTTCACCACCAACAGAAGAAAAGCGTACCTAAAATCACAGCAAAAATGGCTAGACTAAGTGTAAGTGGGCCTTTAATCTTACATTTCAGCGACACTGTTGTCAGGAAGTATCCCAGCATTCCTCACTTCATCAAGATATGTTTCCTTTGCCGTCCTGACACCAGCACGTACAGACTTCCTCTGTTCCTTATTACGAGACACGTGATTCTTATCTGAATGCGAAAATCGAGAAGGGGGCTGTTTGTTAGAGATTTTGCAAATAATGGGCGTGGTCTTTTA